TTATATAGTATGTGATGCCAATTGAGCTTGATGTCCCCTGTGACTATGGTCCCAAGCCCACAGGTTCAACTACTCGGTCCCTCTGGGTAGCTGTCTGTGACCAAGCAGTGACCACAACCTTGCCCCTTGTCAGCTCTACTATACACTTGGGAATTCTGATCATTCAAATAAACTTATAGGACCATTGTCTGCCAACACTATATATGTTCTTGGATACACTCCCCATTTCAAAGACATACCTAATCGTTTAGCCTGTCCACCTATCTATCCATCCATATACCCATGTTAGCTTTCACTGATAATGCAGTACTGTATGTGCAAAAGTCTTCTCCCAGTTTTTGGATAATCTTAAGTAAGATTTTGCTTGCATGTGATATTAACATTGTTAGATAATTTCCACATTCTATGGAATCACCTTTCTTTGGAATGGGTACAAGTATGGATCTCTTCCAGGCAGTTGGCCAGGTAGCTGTCTTCTAAATCTCTTGGCATAGCCAAGTGAGTGCCTCCAGAGTGGCATCCATTTGTTGAAACATCTCAATGGGTATTCCATCAATTCCTGGAGCCTTGCTTTTCTCCAATTCCTTCGGTGCAGCTTCGACTTCTTTCTCAACACCATTGGTTCTTGATCATATACCACCTCTTCAAATGGATGAACATTGACCAGTTCTTTTCGGTACAGTGACTCTGTGCATTCCTTCTGTCTTCTTTTGATTCAAAATGACCCAAACTGGTCTATTTCAGCTCACTAATGCCTAGGATATCAATCTTTATGTGTTCCATTTCAGTTTTGACAACTTCCAATTTTCCTAGATTCATACTTTGTACATTCCTTGTTCCAATTATTAATGGATGTTTGCAGCTGTTTCTTCTAGCCTAATAAATAAACAAATTATTTGAATGTCCTTTTAGGATTGTCTTGAAAGGCAAGAAAGGAGGTTGGAAAAAAAAGAAAAGAAAAAAAGACCCTTTAACCTGTATGTCTTTGTGTTTATAAAGATCTGGCCCAGAAAAAGGCTTCCACTCTAGTTTGGGCAGAGGTTGAAAATCCTTGCTGAGTCTGAACTTCATCCTTCCCTCTCATTTCTATGGTCCTAATCCCACCTCCTTAAAGTGAGATTTTGCTATCAGCCTTAATGCTGGTCTCCTGGCCTCTACTCTCCTTCAACATTATTCTCTAATTTTTCTCAGTTTAGTTTTCCTAAGATATTATCATTCTTATTGAACACCAATTATGTGCGGGGCACTGGTGTGGATATTGATGAGCTGCCCAGATCCTTTTTCAGGAATGAAGGCTTGTTGCCCTGCCTGCTGAGTCACACCTCCTTCCAGGTGCAGTCTGTATCCAAAGATTAATTAACTTGACAGTATGGAGGTCTGGTGTTCTGCTCCAATTCAGGACACCTTGGAGAGGCTACCCCAGCTCCAGAGCTGCCTGTGTGGTTCCCTGAGGCTCTCACTGGGCCTGCTATCCTACTCAGCCTTCCCTCTGCTCCACCCTGCTTCCTGCCCCTCATCCCACAGGGTTTGATCTTAGGAGTGCACACTAATAAATGTCCTGCCTCAGAGCTGTTTCCCAGAGAACTTGACATGTGACATTTTCAAAAGATGCAATGATTAGTAAACCACCTGTAAGGTTGTCAAGGATAAGTGGAACTACAATCTGACTGTTGGCATGCAGTGTTTATGTTCTGATGGGGTAAGCCCAAAGTGCAATGGAAGCCCAGCTGAGGAGTCTGGACTGAAGGGAGCCCATCACTCCCAGTTCAGGGATCCCTACAGCCCCATCAGCCAGGTCATGAAAGTCCTCCACAGCCTGGATCCACCTGCCTGCCCACTGGGATTGCTCACAAGTTGCCAGCCAGTGTGGCATGCTTACCTGATGCATATTGGTGGCACTGGTAATGAATGGCAAGGGTTTTGTTTGGTTTGCTTCATTGGGTGGACCAGACCTAGGCTTCAGGGATATCTGAAGAGTGGCTCTTAGTGGGATGTTTTATATTCCAAAATGACAGACCCAGTGAAAGTAAATGACACTTTCTATTACATCATGCTAGAATTTGCCTGGAAATCAGAGAACTTGGCAAAACGTTGTCTACATCCAAACAAACTTAACAGTATTAATGCGACATTGAAATAATTCCGACTAGCATCATACTCAATGAGTGCCTCTGTGGTGCCGAGACCCATGATCCTTCCATACCCCTGCACTGTGCCTCCCACTGGGACCAGCTAGGTTGCTCTTGGTGAGTGTAGTCAGGGCAGAAGCCGGGAGGCCAGATTACAATGAAGATAGCAGTTTAAAGGCCTGAAGTTGGTAGGCAGCTCCAGGGCTAGCAGCCTCCACAGCCTGTTGGGGTTAGCAGGTTCTCTGTAGTATGTAGTGGGTGGTTGCTGTGATCAGCAGTCTGGAGTCATCAAAGGCAGCTTCTCAACAGTCCATGTCAGATTCTTCTCACCTCTGGGCCTTTAAGATTGGAGCTGGCTAATATTGCCCCTAGGAGCTCTGGTAGCATAGTGCCTAAGGCACTTGACTGCTCACCAGAAGGCTGGCGGTTCAAACCCACCAGCCACTCCTTGGAAGGAAGGTTGGGCAATCCTACTTCTGTAGCGATACTGCCTCGGAAACCCAAGGAGGGGTCACTATGAGTCAGGGCCGACTCGACGGCAAAACAACAATATTGCCCCTATTTGTCTATCCCTCAAGATGACCATCTTCTACTGCCAACTTCCCTCCCTAAAGCTCTTCCAAAAACTCACCTTACACACCCATTGTGGGGTCTTTCTCAGCTGCTGCAGCTCACTCATCCCAGCTTTCTAAAGTGTAAAGACCTGCAGTGTAGGCTCCTACTGTTAATCTGGAGGCCACCTGGTGCTGCCCTCTACCTCAAAGAGATCCCTTCTCCAGAGCTCTGACAAGGGGTGAGCAGACTGGGTGACAAGCTCACTATCAGAAAGTAGTTGGAGCTGTTAAAAAGTTTTGCTTCCTGCAGCCAAACCTACTCTGTGGCAGTCTACCCTCTGGAAACCCTCAAGAGAATATCTTTTTTTAATGATAGTCTTTCCAGTAAGACTGCCCATACAGGAACCACATTCTGAGTGCTTATGCATTAGGCACTTGTTAAAAATTCTTGAAATAATCCTGTAAGAAAACTGAGTCAGAGGTGTTCAGAGAGGCTAGGTGATTTGTTGTGGGAACTCAGCTAACACTGCTAATCCCTTCTATTACCAGTAATTGAATTGGGATTTGATCTTAGACCCAACTCCAACTCTAGTGCTTGTACACAAAGCCACCTCCAAAAGAGCAGAGGCCATCACAGAACCCTTTAGCATCTCCAGGGCCTCCAAGGATTGGAGAACTATAGAAGTTCACGAGCTGGTGAAGAGGCTGAAACTCTGGCAAACAGACATAGCTCCTACAATAGATGGTTTTCCATCTCACCCGTCTGCAGGGCTGAAGTTGGAGGTGACTGAAAGGGCTCTCAGGTGCACCAAGATAGCACATGACCACTGACAGCTGGATGAATAGCTCCTCTGGATTTCTGAGGGAGGCTGAGGTGGCAGGCAGGAAAATGGCCCTTCTGCCAGCTTCATCAGTCCATCAACACTGCTCTGTGATAAATCAATAGAGCCTTCCTGCCATTATTCTCCTGTACCCCCAGAACAGGGTTCTCTCCCCACAGGTATCTCAGCCACCAAACCAGCAGCTCAGGGTTGAGCTTTGGGACTATAGTCCCCATGAAGCCAGCAAGGCCTTCTGATGAATCCAGTTTCTCCGCTGTCATTAAGCTGAGGCAAACGAGTGTCTCTTTTTCAATGTCTTCTACATAATAATTACATAAAGCAGCTGAGTCCTCTACAAATGATATTTATAAATCACATCACCTCCATTAAACAACTACCCTTCCCTAAAACAAAGCTTAATTTGAAAACAAAACTGGTCAATTTCTTCCCAAGGCTGTTCTTAATTCCCCATATCCCAGGCCCCAGGTATGTGGCTAGAGAAAAAATAAAGGACATGGAGCCACTCAAGGAAAACGGGGGCAAAGACAGCTTCTCTTCAGCCCTGCAGAATTCAGTTTAGAGAGGCAAGGTGAGCCTGGGCCAGAGACGACTGGAGAAAGCAGTTGGCAAACCATGTCTGAGGCCAGACTGCAGAATCAGTTCAACCTTCTAAGCAGCAGGGCCAAGACAGCAGAGCCTAAGAGCTCGTCACTAAGGCTGAGCCCAGACAAGGGGAACAGCACCACAGTGATGCCAATACACTTCCCTCCATCCTACCGTTCAGTTCATCCCTGGAGCAGGCAAATGACCTTGACACCACAGCAGCCTTGAAGTCTCCTCTCAAGGGCAAGTCTGTTCTGCCGTTGTGCCCTCTGTGTGACTCACACACAGGAAAGCGTCAAGTCAGAAAGCCCATACCCTTCAACACTGGGCAACCCACTGCAGCCGTGCCCAGGGAGCAGCAGAGATGAGGCGAGGGAGACACATGGGGGGATTTAATTTATACAGCAGCCACTCAAGGCCCAGTCAGAGCTGGGGCAGTTGGAATCTCTAAGTCCAGAGGGCACCCCTCACATCTTCCCCCTAGGAGACCAGTCCTCAAAAACTCTTGGATGTGGCTCCCTGGTTTGTGCAGAGGATGCTCCAGTCAAAAGGAGTTTTGGGAATAAGGCTGTCCCCAAACTGTGGGGAGTCCATGGCCTGAAGTTGGTTGCCTATGTGGTGGCCCAGGGGTCTGAGAGACAGTCCATGTCCGGGGCACGGTCTTCAGCCTGGTGGCCCTAGAGGAAGCCCTCACGGCGGAACTGTTCCTGGAGGAAGGCGCGGTACTGGTCAAAGCCCCCCTCGACCCGGGTGACACCACCTCCTTCACACACCCACAGTTCTTGGCACACCAGCCGGATGAAGCGCTCATCATGGGAGACTAGAATCACACCACCCTGAAAGAGAGGAGACCAGGGAAGTGCTCAGGGGCCCCCAAGGGGGATACTCAGCCTAGGGGAGTAGTTAGCACAAAAGTTACACTTACCCTAAAATTGTTGAGAGCACAGCCCAGAGCCTCAATTGTCTCCATGTCTAGGTGGTTTGTGGGTTCATCCAGAATGTAGAAGTTGGGACTGGAAGGCAGAATCCAGGAAATTACAGGGGTTAGGGGGCAGGGAGAAAATGAACTTTGATTCAAAGGTGAGGAGATCATTTTCTTTTGGGCAAGAGGGAAAGATGTAAGGGCAAGAGCCCTACAAAGGGAGGCCTCACCAGGGCATGGTCATTTGAGCAAAGGCCACCCGGCTCTTCTGGCCCCCAGACAAGCTGGCAACAGGGCGCATGGCCAGTTCTCCAGAGATGCCGTACCGGCCCAGCTGGTGACGATATTCCTCTTCCGGCCGCCCTGAAAGAGGCCCCACCCCATCATGTGGGTTCCTGGACCAACTCCCTTCATCCTCCTGCCCCATTTCCAAATGCCCATATCCTCAGCCTAGACTTGGGCTGGTTACGCAGCACCCACCCCCAGGCAAGCCTAGCTATAGGGCTCAGCCCTGGCCCTCTTCCATCCACTCAAATCCCTAACAAACCAGGAAACTTGCGAGCCAGTAGTTCCACAGCACTGACATTCAGATCTAGCTGTTCCACATGGTGCTGGCTGAAATAGCCAATCTTCAGATTCCTGCAGGCAGAAATAAAGCAGAGAAGAAGGCATTTCTATGCTGCCCATAAAGGAGAGGAGCTATAGTCAGTGGGTACAAGTATCTTTGTGTGTGTGGATGTGTGTGTGTATTTGGGGTGGAAGTGGGTGGGCCTTACCTGTGAGCATGTCGGATGCCCCGAACAGGTGTCAGGTCCCCCATAAGTAGCTTCAGCATAGTAGACTTCCCAGTCCCATTCTCTCCAACCTGTAAGAAGAGGAAACATGAAAACCTTAAGGTATGTGTGCACATGAAACACAAAGAAGATGATGATAGTGGGTCCTAGGTAGTCACAATGAGCTCTTAAAGGATCACAAAAACATCTTTAATGAACTATAGAGAAAAATGATGAAGGAAGATATAAAGGGAAACAGCAGTTGAGTGCCTACCAAGTGCTGGGGATTTAATGATCCTAGTAACTGTAAATGTTATTTCCATTTTAAGGTTGAGGAAACTGTTTAGAAAGTGTTATGGATTGAATTGTGTCCTTTAAAACTGTGTTGTAATTCACCTACACCTTTAAGAAGGAGCTCTGATGGCATAGTAGGTAAGGTGCTTGGCTGCTAACTACAAGGTCAGCAGTTCACATCCAACAGCTGCTCTGCTCTGCAGGAGGAAGGTAAGGCAATCTACTTCCATAAAGATTTACAGCTTTGGAAACCCAATAGGGGTTGCTATGAATCAAAATAGACTCCCAGAAGTGGGTTACACCTGTGAGTGTTTTGCTATGTCAGTGAGGTTGTGTCTAAAGTCAACCTCTTCGGATATAAAAGAGACTAAACAAGCAGGTGAGCAGAGATGTGGGAGGAGAGATACCAAGTCACACAAAGACTGCTCACAAGCAGAAGCTCAGAGGAGTTAAGGACTTTCTTGCAAAGAGAAAAAGCCAACCACTAGAGCTGCCGCCCTGAATTCAGACTTCTAGTCCTCTTAACTGTGAGAAAATAAATTTCTGGATATTAAAGAAAGCTACCCACCTGTGGTATTTGTTACAGCAGCATTAAATGACTAAGACAGTAATCAAGCAAGGAATGATAGCCAGGACCTGAAACCTGATCCCAGAGCCCATGCGCTCTCATCTATGTCAAGAGCTGAGGCCAGTAACGTAAAGTCTTGCTACTAAGTATTAAGGAGCTCTAGTGGCATAGTGCCTAAGGCATTTAACTGCTAGCCAGAAGGCTAGTGGTTCAAACCCACCAGCCACTCCTTGAAACGAAGACTGGGCAATCTACTTCCGTATTGATACGGCCTCGGAAATCCAAGGAGGGGTCTCTATGAGTCGGATCTGACTCAACGGCAGTGAGGGTTTTTTTTTTTTTAACTAAGTATTAACAAAATATGACATGAGAGCTTTCCTCTTTCTACAGGAGTGCCCCTGTGAGGCTAGTGGATGAGGGCAGTATAACTATAGCAGTCTCTGGCCCAGGCTTCCTGCTCCTGGTGTGGCAGGAGAATCTTAACACATAGAAGAGAGAAAGGTAGACCCTACCACACAGATGCGGGATTCAAGATCAGCAGACACGGAGAGACGACTGAAGATGACATGTTTAGGATCATAGTAGAAATCCACTTCATCTAGTTGCAGAACTGGTGGTGAGAACTTCTCAAACCCATCAGGGAACCTGCAGGAGATAGAAGTGAGGAGCATGGGGAAGGCTAGAGAAAAGACCTCCCACAGCAGCCCCTTAAGCCCAGCACTCACTTCATCACCACCTCTGACTCCTTGTCCACAGGTTTCAGCTCTGGTCTAAGGGGAGAGATGGGGTGGGCTAGATTTAAGACTTTAAAAAGACAACTTTGTTTTTATTGCACAAGTAATATACATCTACTCCTCACTTATAGACTATCCTGTTACCCAATATTTTGTATTTATGACAATAGTAAAAGTCTACTATCCAACTACTTTGTGCATCAACAACATCTCACGGTAACAAATACCGAGGTACAAGTGAGAGTAACACTGGCTATGATAGCTAAGGTTATGTGTCAACTTGGCTGGGCCATGATTCTCAGTTCAGCAGTTATATAACCACGTAGTCATCCTCCACCTTGTGACCTGATGTGGTCATTCCCTATTTTCACATAATGCCAATTTTGGAACCTAACCATGTTGATAAGTAAGGAGTAGATGTTTATTTAAAGAAAAAACTTGTAATCCTACCACTGAGATGATGTTCTTATTTTAGAGTACATTCACCTAATTTGTTATAAACTGAAAAATAGGATCATCCTTTTTGTAGCCTCCCCTCCCGCCCAATTAACATATGATGTGTTTCCATGATACAGAGTTCTAAGCTTTATAATTTTTTATGTTCCCCAGCACCTTGAGCTCTGGTGGTGTAGTGCCTAAAGCACTTCAAACCCTCCAGCCCCTCCTCAGAAGGAAGATTGGGCAACTACTTCCATGGAGATACTACCTTGGAAACCCAAGGAGGGGTCTCTATGAGTCGGGATCGACTCTATGGCAGAGAGTTTTTTTTTTTTTTTTCCCATCAGCACCTCTAGAAATGTTGCTTCAAGATTAAACTCCCAATATGCAACATCATTAGTGAAATGCACACTGAGATACCACTTCACCCTCCAGAATGGCTAAGACTAAAAACAGTAAGTGTTGGTGAGGGTGTGGAGAAGTTAGAACCTTCATACACTACTGGTGGGGATGTAAAATGGTACAGCCACTCTGGAAAACAGCTTGGCAGCTCCTTAAAAATTTAGCATAGAGTTACCACATGATCCAACAATTCTAGGTATATATCCAAGAGAACTGAAAATATATACCCATACAGAAACAGGTACATAAGTGTTTACAGTAGCACTATTCATAATAGCCCCAAACTGGAAACACCCAAGTGTTTACCAACTGATAAATGGAAAAACAAATTGTGGTGTATCCACAGTATTTGGCTGTAAAAGGAGTAAAGTACTGACACATACTACAACATAGATGAACCTTGAAAACATAATGCTAAGTGAAAGAAACCAGATGTAAAAGGCCACATATTATATGATCTCATTTACATAAAATGTCCAGAACAGACAAACCCATGGAAACATATAATTAGATTAGCTGTTGCCCAGGGCAGGGGTGAGGATTATCCCCAACAACAGTAGAATACCATGCTTTGCTGCAGGAAAGGAAGTTAAAAGTGGCCTTCTAGCAAAGGGGAGACACAGAAGGGGAAGACAAGGGAGTGGCCTGCAAAATAAGGGAAGAAGTCAAGAGGTACGAGAATTAGGGCTTGGCCAGGGACATGATACTCACAGCTTCTCTAGCATCTTAAGTTTACTCTGCACTTGAGAAGCCCTGTTGGCATTGTAGCGAAACCGGTCAATGAAAACCTATAGTGGAGGAGTACAGGGGTTGGTTAGGCACCTCACCTCCCCACCTCTGACACCCATGGCATGGGAGCCCTAGCCCTGCCTGCCCCACACCTGAATGTGCTGGCGATACTGCTGCTGTGCCTCATATTCACGCTGCTGGTTCAGCAGCCGCTCCTGCTTGCTCTTGATGAAGGTCTCGAAGTCCCCTCGGTATCCATCCAGGCGCTGGCTGTGCAGATGGATGATGTCTGTGGCGATGGCATTCAGGAAATTGCGGTCGTGGGAGACGACTAGGATTGTGGAAGGCCATGTCTGAGGGGTCACAGGATGGCAGGCCCAGTTTGGAAGGGCAGTTAGCCCATAGCCCCAAAGTGTTTTAGAGGCAGAATTTCTCCAGACCCGCTCGCGAACCCATAGGCACTCACCTGCAGATAATTCTCTAGCCATAGGATGGCTCTTACATCCAGCATGTTTGTGGGTTCTAGGAAAAAAAAAGCAAGGGACCACATATTTGGGATTGAAGAGCCAGATAACTAGGAGTCCAGATGCTTCCCATCCCAAAATCAGGGTGCCATGTCAAACTCACCATCTAACAGCAGAAGATCTGGCCTATGAAAAAGAAGAACACAGGCATGAGGCTTTAGGTAGTGACTCACTGCCATCTCCTAAGAGCTAAGGCCCATCCATGCTCCACAGGGCTCCAGACACAGTCCTGGGAGACTCACCTAGCAAACAGGGCCCGGGCCAGAGCCAACCTCATCCTCCAGCCACCTGAGAACTCCCTAAACGAAGAGAGGACCACATCAGGAGTGGAGTTCCCCAGGGGAACAGGGGAAGCACAGGCAAAGTCAACAGCGCTCAGAGCCAAGAATGGCAAGGGCTACTCACCGGGTAGGCTGCTGCTGCATCTTAGGCGTAAAGCCAAGCCCAGCAAGAATGACCGAAGCCCTAAGAGTGAAGAAATTGAAGCATGCAATTGGAACCAATGATAGAGGGGAAAGTTGAAATCTGGGGGTGAGGGTGGGGGTGTAGGATTGCAATACCTGGCAGGTGCCTTATCAGCCTCAATCTCCTCCAATTTGGCATAGATTTCCACCAGCTGTGCAGCTTCAGAGCCTTCCACCCTGGGTGGGGGGTGGAGGAGAAAAGCAATCAGCTAGAGGTGGGCAGTCTAGAGAGATGTCTTGCACCCTCTACAACTGGAAGGCAGACTGGCTTGTTGCTGGGACACGAATAGGATACACGAGGTTGTGTCCAGGGTGGTGAGGGCAGTAGACACCATGGAAGAGGCAAAGGCTTTAGAGTCTACAGTGAGAAGTTCCAAGCTCTGCTGCTTACGAGAACTGGCACAAGAATTATGGATTGTGACAGTAAGGTGGCACTCTGAAGGTCAGCTGCAGCTAGTCATTTCTTAGCCTGGAGTTCTCACCTGCCAGAGGCAATCTGGGCACTAAGCTCCCGCTCCCGGCAAAGGAGGTCCTCTCGCACGGTATCACTCTCTAGCACACTCTGCAGGGCAGGGGTGTCATCGCCAGCAACCTCCTGCTCCACGTGCAGCAGGGAAATGTGGGCTGGAATCCGCAGGCTTCGGGTGGCCAGCATCTTCAGCAGCGTCGTCTTCCCTAGACCGTTCCGCCCCACTAGCCCGTAGCGGCGGCCCCAAGCCAGATTCACATCTGCGCCTGTCAGCAGTACCCTGCAGGAGTGATGGGAAGAAGATAAAGCGTGCTCTAGAAACAAGTGCACAGTAAGTTTAACAACAGAGAACTAACATTGTTTTAGAATCATGTCATTCCTCCAAATGATCCTTTAATTGGAAGAAAGAATGACACTCCCTCTGCCATGCCCTCACCTATCTCCAAAAGACACATCAAAGTTCTCAATTCGCACATCATAGGATTTGTTCTTGCCAGATGATTCCAACCGATTCTCTTTTCTGCTGCCTGCCTGGCTGGCTGATGCCTCTTCTAAAACTCTTTTAAAGGGAGAAATGCATAACTTTTAGTATTTCCAACCACATGGCGACACTGCTCTCTTTTGCTCTCAGTCACTGTTCCAAACTCACAGAGGGTTGCTGGTCTTGAGCGTGTCCTTCTCTGAGCGCTTCTCCTGCTTTGCCTTTAGTCGAGCCTCAGCCTTCTCTAGCTTCTTTGCATTCACTGTCTAAAGGTCCAAACACAACCATTTCACCGTAGGGTATAGAGTCACAAAGAAACTCCCAGAGAGGTCAACCCCTTTTAACCTATCCGTGAAGAACAGAGTCAAAGATTCAAAGAAAGACATAATCAAAAATCCCCCAGAAAGACATTCCAATATTCAGAGACAGTTATCCCCTGCCCCACTCAGCCACCCTTTCCTCTTCCTCACCGAGGACTGTTCCCTCTTTAGCAGTCCTGGAAGTTTGGTGTCACAGTCTGTAAGCGATAAGAAAAGCAGTCACCTTTTTCCTGAGGAAGGGGAAACTAACATTTTGAGTGACTAATATGAACGAGGCACAACCACAGACATTTTCAGGAAAACCTTATAAACCTGGGAATAGATGGCTATCATCCTCCTTCCAATTCAAAACACTCGAAAGCTAGGGCAGATAAATAACTCTCACAAGATCATGCAGCTCCTTAGTAAGTTGCAAAACTGGTGACGGTAAACCCAAGTCTGTCCAGCTCCAAGGCCCATATGCTCCCTGCCTTACCCAAGAGCTTAGAAAACTCTCCAACCCTACTTCCATTATCTTGGGCTCTTCTGCCCTCAGTAAAGACACCAACTAGCTTCTACAACCTTGTCCTGTGAAACAGATTGGAGTTCCAGGGAACAAATAGCTGGCTGGGACAGAGTGGAGGCTGAGAAAAGGGCAGAGACAGCAGCTAAATCAATCTTCCCTCACTCTCACCGTAGTTCTCTGTTATCTTTGACAACTGGATAGGAGTGTCCAATAACACCTGGCTGTTTCCTTGGCTCTGTGGCTCCGCGCTTGAGGACAGGGGCAGAAAACGCAGTTAGGAGTTGAGAATAATGCTCCACGGCCATCAGATCTTCCTTCCCCACCTCTCGTCTCCACACCGTCCGCCCTCTCCCACCGCCCACGGTAGCTCCCATGCCTAGGAACATACAGGCGCAGAGTGTTGTACATGCGCTGACACACAGCCCTAATGCCCTCGTCATCCTTGCTGTCTCCGGACACTTCCTGCAACAGTTCTCCCACAGCTTCTACCAGGTCATCCACAGACTCGAAGTCCGCGCTGCCGCTGTGCAAAACGCCTGGGCCGGGCGTGGCAGGACAAAGAAGATAAAAGGTAGGGTAGGCATACAGTTTCAGTTCCCGAACCGCAGTCCCAGTCTGGGCTCCAGACCCAATCGGCCCTCGGGACAAGAGGTCACGCAGCAAAGAGACCCGGCAGCGATACCTGGCACTACCCTCCCTTAGCCTTTTCTCCGCACTTTCACTTCTGCCTTCCCAGCCCATTGACTCGGTTCGGCTCACCCGTCACGTAATCGAAGACCTGTCCGTCAATTTCGGGGAACTCGCTCCGCAGGATTTCAGCGCAAGTCGCCATGTTCCTGTGGGGCTCCTGTCCGCGCAGTCTCCGTGAGATCTCGGCCAAGGCCCGCCTCCTGCCCTTCCCCTGAAGGCACGTCCCTCCTTCCAAAGCGCATGCGTCTCAGTGACGTAAGAAAGGAGTTGAGTGCGCGGAACCTGCCAGGCTAGGGAAACTCGGATGAAGGAGGGGTGCGCAAACGCTGCAAGGCTAAACTGGAGGTGCTCTTTCTGCGCTTGCGCGACGCCTTTTCCGCTGAAAGATTAGCCACATGTGCGGTTCTCTCTGCCTTCTGGGAGGTGGCGTTTGGGTCACTGCGGTGGGGGCGAGGGGGCAGGGGAGTTTTGTTTACTAGGGTTTGCGACACCATTGGTCTGGCGGATGATAAACCACATTGGCCAGGCTAGATTTTTTGCCCTTGAGGCGCATCTACCCCTACGTGTCCAGCCGGGTCCATTTTGGAGCCCGAGAAAGCTGTGCTGACTCACGCTTGTCCCCGATCCCTCAGAAGTAGCCTCCTGGACGGCTCTGTGCGATTGCCTGGTTTGTTTCGCTCCCCAGGCCCTGCAGGCTTCTGGGCCCAGCGTGGTGACCAGGCAGCAGGCTAGCGTTCTGCGCTCAGCCAACCACTGCGAATGATCTTTCTGTTCGTCCACCACCCCAGGCACAACCCCACTTCGCGGTGAAGGACGAGAAAACCAGATTGACATCACTTCGTTCTCTCAGATTTTTGAATTAAGCATCGTCATTGTGAGGAAATAATTCTTACTTTAAATTAAGAAAGCTATGGAGTCTCTAGATCTAATAGCGTTTTACAGGGAAAAAGAAGTCTGTTAAGTGAATCAGGAGGATACAATCGACAAATTTCTGACTGAACAAACTATCCGATTTCAACAAAATTGCAAGGAATAAAAAATCTAATAGGAATGTATCTATTTATAAAACTCAAGAAAAAGCATTAACCAACCACAATGAATGAATCTTGTTTGGATCCAGATACACTTGGAAAAAAATTTATAGGACAATTGGATTAAGTGTGAACACTCATTGGATTTGTTATTAAGGAACTGGTCATGAGTTGATAATTGTTGAAGTTGGGTGATGGGGCATGAGCGCTCATTATATTCTACTTCTGTTTATGTTTGAAGTTTTCTATAAAGATTTTTAAGTTTAAAAAGGCTGAAACCGAGAAGGGAAAGGAAGAGGGCAAATCTGCCCTCTTTTGTCTGTCCCAAACACACCAGGAGGATATGAAACATTCCCCTTCAGGGACAAGCCCACGTGTAGAATCAGATCTTTTACTACTCGCCCACTATGGTTTGGAAAGCCAAGGTAAATGGGAAAAGGATGATGTTAAGACACAGGTTTCTCAAACTACTGTTGTTATGTGCCATCGAGTCGGCCCCGACTCATAGTGACCCCTCCTTGGGTTTCTGAGGCAGTATCACTACGGAAGTAGGATTGCACAACCTTTCTTCCGAGGAGTGGCTGGTGGGTTTGAACCGCCAGCCGTCTGGTTAGCAGGCAAGTGTCTTAGCCACTATGCTATCTCAAACTACTAGAAACACCAAATATAAACTTTTACTTAATCTTCCTAATTAGAGAATACCTGCCTGAGGCTGAGCTAATCTGTAAAGGAATCTTGAACCTCAGGGAACTAGGCCAGCTAGGGCTGCTTGCCCTTGAGGCTATTTTCTTAGAGGAGTCAGGAGACTTGGGGACAACACCTGAGGATAAAGGCTTGGATGGCCCCCAGAAGAACCTGATGATTGAGGTAAAAGCCTTGCGACACCAGAATAGAAGACTCTTCCAAAGCGGGCAAGATAAAAAAAACGTGGAAGAGCAATTCCACCTGTCCCCCTTCCCCCATAAAGTTACCACATCAACACTTAGCCAACAAGTCCACTCTACAGAGTTTATTGGGTTTATAACTGGACAAAGTCACACGTGTACAAAATGACGCTCACACTATCCCAAAGCAGAGTAAGGATTGAGGGCTAGGGATCCGTTACTGGCCTTTGGGAGAGCTAGGAGGTGAGAGGCAGCCAACCCTCCCACTTGAGAGAGAGATGGCCACAGGGGACAAAAGAGGGGGCCCACCTGGCTTTGGTCACAGAACTCCTAATAGCCTGGCGCTAGGCCAGGACAGACAAGAATGGTGGAGCAGGAGCCCCAGAAACTCCCCCGTCCAGGGATCCCAGGGACTGCTCCACTAGTCCCGCTTCCAATGGGGTTGGTCCAGACCTAGACTCAGGGGCTGGTGCAAAGGGAAGGCGGCAAAGCAGGAGAGGAGGAGACACTGATGTGTGGCAGCCAGAGGCCTGGGCCTGTGGAAGAGGGTGAGTGGGGAGGCGGGCCAGCTGCCACTGGACAGCTAGCAGCGGGTCTCATAAATGCCGCTGCGGCCAATGTAGCGCACCCATTTGATGACATCGTGGTCGCTGTAGTTCAGCTTCGGTTCAAATACCTTCAAGTAGCGCACCTTGAGGCCAGACGGTGCGAATGGCACCTGGGCAAGAGACAGGTCCAGTTAGAAATGTGGCTTTCCTCTCACAGCCACTTTCCTCTGGCAAGTTCCACAGCCTACCTCATCTCCACAAATGTTTGAGTGACTGTGGTCCTAAAAGCTGGGGGATTGAGGGGGCTCTAAGTGGTTATTAAAGAGAGCATACACAAGAGTGGCCAGCACTCATCTTGGGTTTGAAGTTAGGCCTGCCTGTGATAAATGGAATCAATTCCTTTATCAGCAGGAGGTAGCAACTAAAGAATTGCTTTGGAACATATTTATCCTGCTCAGTATCATAGACGTAAAACGTAAGGTAGAGCAATAGGTCCAACATGCACAAAGCAAAGTCAGTCCATTTTCCTGTCTGTGAGTAAACTTTGTTTCTTAGCTGGCATTCAAATAATCTACATTTTCCCAAGAACAGCTTTATGACAAGTCAAAACAAGTCAGATTTTTGTCAGTGTGAGCACCAGTTTCTACTAGGAGCCTTGAAAGGACAAGAAATGGGTCTGTGAATTACAAAATCACTGATACTACCTAGGTTTCATTTTGCTCATCTGTAAGGTACAGAGATCTCGCACATTCTTCCCAGCATACCCCACCATAGCTCTATAGGCCTCTTCTCTGCCATACCTCAAAGTTCATGGAAATGGGGGGCCGAGCCCACTTCTTCTTGTCGTTGGTGGGTAGTAGCTCAATCTCTGCACTGATCTGCGACTCCTTCATGCCTGCCATTCGCTTGATCCTAGGAACACAGGAGCAATGGGCAGCAAGTGCCCCTGGTAGCCTGAGGCATTATTGGGGGGATACCCTTGGGCCACAAGGAGACCCCGGAGCTTGTGGGAGGTGGCAGGACAAGGAAAAGTGGTCAGGATCCTGCCAACTACTTGCTATGCAACCTGGGTCTGTTATTCTTACAGCACTATGTGCCATGGCATCTGCTTAGACTCATTGCATGCCATCCCACACACTCTTGTTTTTTCACAGAAGTATTATAGGGGCAAGTGGGGAAACATGAAAGCATCTTGAAAAATGAATGCATGGGTGAGCCCATATCCATGCTCACACAGAGGTGTAAGGGCTCAGAGGAGAAGCCAACACTTGTACCCCCCACTCCCCCACCACACAGAGAGAAGAAAAGATGAAACTTAACAGGAGGGTAACACTAAGGAATCTTGAGCCCCGCTGTGGTCTCATGAAGACTCACTTCCACACGATGGCATTCTCACTGGCCTTGTACTTGGCTTTGCCTTTCATGCAGATCACCTGCACCCCGCTTGTGTTCAGTGGGGTTGGGATCCTCACCTAGAAGTGGTACACCTGTCAGGAAGCTCATCAAGGCTCAACAGCGGCTGCCCTGACTCCTGAAGACAAGTTCTTCCCCTTCCCCAAACCCCTTGTCCTCACCTCAATCTTTTGAGCCAGTAATGAGGGCTTGAAGTTGGACTTGATGACGACCTTGACCTCCAGCTTGGTACGTCCCACTTCCCGTACTAGTGGGATCACCCGGAAAGGAAGGATGATGTCCTTGGTGGTACGATACCTTTGGAGACAGGGAGCAAGATTGGCATAGCAGAGCCTGTCCCACTCTCCTCCTGCTGGGCAGCATCCCCTTCCTTCCTCCTCACACCCCCAGGGTACCTCATGAGCTCAAACTCTCCATCTGGTGGGATGAAGCTGATGCTGCGTTCAGAGTCAAATTTGCTGAGTCGCACACACTGATGGAAGGTGCAGTCATCAATGGCAATTGATTGCTTCCCGCTGCAAGCAGGGACAGAAGATGACTCCTCAATGGCAATGGCACAGGAGAGTGGCAGATGTCAGGCTGGTAGACTACCCACCCCCAAAGGCTGCCAGAGCCCAGGCAAAGTTTGTACCACAGACTATGGAAAGCTCTCAGGAAGGCAACTTTCTGACCCAGGGGTCCCTGGCCCAGAGTTAGTGATGAATGGAAGCTTTGCCAGCTCATCCTCTCTTGGAGCCCTTTTATTTGGGACCACATGCTTCATATACCCTGTGCAGAGGACATCAATATGTACAGAAGAGGTCTTGGTCCTGGGAACCAAACAAAGGGACTTGCTCTCTGAGGACAGCTAGCACAGATATCAAGAGCAACCAGCCAAGCACTCCTCTGGGAGGACAGATTTTACATTATCGTGGAAATGAAAACCAGAAGTCAGTTGTGATTCATCAGGCCTCACTCAGCCCTGAGGGCAAACCCCTTCCACCAGCTTCCCTGCCTCAGGCACCTCTTGCTTGTTTCATCAGCTGTACCCTTGCCCTGCTTCTCAATGACAATCTTGTCATTCATCCCAAACTTGCACTCGGGCATGCCACTCAGGTAGCTCTTCATCACCACCCGGCCTGACACATGGGCGCTCAGCACCTGCCCTAGAGACAGACAGACACAGGGAAGCTGTTGAGTTGCAGGCAGGACCAGGACACTGCCCTAGCCTCTCTCTGGCCTCACATGAAAGCCCTCACCCTGTGGGGACATAAGCAGGTTCACACTTTCCAGCACATCCAGGAAGAGCTCATTCCGGCGATACTTGATGCCCTCTCGCCGCCAGCCGATCTGCCCTGTCACCTGGCTGGTGATCTGGGATTGCTCTTCTTTTGTCTATGTGGGGATAGAGATAAATAAC